AAAAAAAAAAAAAAAAAAAAATGTTGCAGCATTCTTGGGACGGGTTTTCTCTGGGGCCCGTTTTTTGAACATACCTCGAGCATTGCTGCATATATAAGGCCTTGAAAGTTACCTTCGCATTGTGCCACAACCACCGTAGTGGCGGTGAGTACCACCGGACAGGAAAAAAATAGGGCAAGACCGGTTTTAGAGGATATCATCGACATTGAGCTTAAACTAATGAACACGTGTATGACAAAACCAACGAACCGTTGGACCAAATACAGATGCAGTTTCACATAAAAACTGAAAATTTGGTGCCATCAGAGTAAATTCATAATCAACCAATAATATCAGGAAGTGAAACACAAGAAAAAATGTGAACTCAAAACACTGTATAGTTTATATAATACACAAGTTTGCTGGGAATATTCTGAACAGGAGTTCAAAAATTACATCCGAATAACAGTGACGAGCAAGAACTTTTGTTTGATCCCCCACTGCAGAGTTGAATCAATTGTAAACCATATATTTTGGAGTCGCGCTGAATTTCTGATAACCTTTGATAACTTTATTAACAGCATCTAAGAAGTCTTTCTCGGTCACAGTTTTCCTCCTTGCCCGGATAGCATACATTCCGGCCTCAGTGCACACACTTCTAATGTCAGCTCCTGGAGAAAAACACCCGTGCAGAATCAATCAATTGTCGGATAATATCCACCAGAATGCATCGTAAATGGAAAGGGATATCACAAAATTATAACTAGACACTGATATTGTTTCTTTTTACACAGTGCACCCTCGTCAGGTTGATTATTGATAGAGTTTCAACTTCAACGGTAATTTTTGTAATTATCACAGATGAATGATCCAAAAACAAGAACTATAATGTTTGCAGCAGCTTCTGTGCAAGAGAAAAAAATATTTACCAGTTGAATTTGGGCAGAGCCGAGCAAGAAGCTCAAAGCGAATATCCCTCTCGCAATTCATTGTTCGCGTATGAATCTTGAAAATCTGGGTCCTGCTTTCTAGATCCGGCAGTCCAAATTCCACTTTCCGGTCCAGCCTTCCAGGTCGTAAGAGTGCCGGATCGAGAGTATCAGGTCTGAAAAGTAATGAAAGCCATAATAACGTTCCACTCTCAACAGTAAAAAAAAATTGAAAAAGGAAAGAAGTACAATAAACCGAGAACCAACAAGTCTATGTTGATAATTAAGAAGGATCATTTGCTATCTGACAATTGGTCAAGCCTCTCACCTGTTGGTTGCCATTAAAACTTTAATATTCCCACGAGCATCAAATCCATCAAGCTGATTCACAATTTCAAGCATGGTACGGTGGACCTCATTGTCCCCACCAACTCCATCATCAAACCTTGCACCTCCAATGGCATCCACCTCGTCAAAAAATACAATGCAGGCTTTTTTAGAACGTGCCATCTGCCACGAAAAAGAATTAATTCTTGTTAATATTAATAGAACTTTCAACAATTAGCAAATACAGAAAACAAATCCAACAGTGAGAGTATTGGACCTGGAATAGTTCACGAACCATACGAGCTCCCTCACCAACATACTTCTGGACAAGCTCACTCCCAATAACACGAATAAAACATGCATCAGTTCTGTTAGCCACAGCTCTGGCTAATAGGGTTTTACCAGTGCCAGGAGGGCCATAGCACAGAACACCCTTTGGAGGATCAATTCCTAGCTTCACGAATTTTTCAGGATGAAGCATGGGCAGCTCGACAACCTTGTGAAAAAAAAGAAATAAATAAACATTACAACCATTCAAGGAAGGTCATTTCAAATCTGACTTCAGTTTTAGGATTACTAAGAAATTTTTTTTTTTTGCCAAACAACTATAACGTACCTCGCGCATCTTTTCAATCTGTTCCTTGCACCCACCAACGTCATTATAAGTCACATCTGGCTTTTCCTCTACAGTCATCATCGTCACACTTGGATCGATTTTCGGGGGTAAAGGAATCTGAATTTGATATTTGTTTCGGTCAACACTGCAATAAAGAAAAGCTTAGTCTCAAACTTTATTACATCATAACAGCTTTCGCCAATATAATCAAAGCAGTAAAATGAGAAGAGAGTTGTATTCCAGCACCATAAAATATTAAGTAAAATGTGATTGGAAAAAGCATGTGGAGTAAGTTATCTGGAGTTGCAAGACCAGTTTTAATAAATTGAACTGTTAAACTCATTATCATATATGTAATTTGACACCAAAGGTTTTTCTTCCAAGAACCAGTAACATATACTCTAAAATACTTTAAAACTAGGTACCCAAAACAAAGATAGAAAACAGCTTACCCAACTCTCATCCCTTCTTCAATATCTGTAGGTGAAACTTTATCACCCAATCCAACAACAAACTGCATGAAAAAATTGGGCATGAATAAAACAAAAAATATTCATGAACAACAAATATAGTACGCTCAACATTTTACTATGGCAGTGTCAGTTATATGGAAGCTAAGCTAAAGGAAAAAAATCCCCTCTCAATCTTCCCAATCGCAGAACACAATTTAACCTCTAAGAAAAGCATCTAGGAAAAGAGGGAACGAGCATACCTTCGCAATTTGCTTAACATTGATAACGTATTTTGCGTCTTCCGTGTTTGGACTAATAATTTTCGTACATCTTGCAACCTAGTTACAACAACCGATTATATTTTATATATACTTTGATCGATGGGGTTACATTTACGGATCAAATCAAGAAAGATCCTTGCCTGAAGTGGTTGTTCCTCCTGCATCATTTGCTTATCAGATACAAGATCCCATTGGCTAGGAGCAGCTAAACCAGTGTCAGATTCCTTGATACCTAAATGAGGAGAAAATAAACAAATCACTGCTTCGTGAAACTTGCACTCACATTTGCTGCCCTAAAGTGGAATACGGAACGAACAACCACAGAGTTGAGTTATAACAAAAACAAGATCAGAAAACAAACCACATAAATCATTAATCTTCTTAGCCATCTCCTTGATTTCCTTCTCAGCTTTCTTAATGCTTGTAGAATACGGGCCCAATCCCTGGTCAAACCAATTTCAAGAACTTCAATACAATGACACTCCTTGATGCATGGGGGTTCAAACTTTAAATAGAAGATATAACATTGATAAAACCATACTCAGTAACTCATTAAGATAGAAATGAACACAACATGATTCGACTTCAGCAACCGCTTTTCGCTTCATAAATTGCAGTGTGCATAAAGTAATCAAGAATACCAGGCAGAAAACAAGAAAATAATAAGGACTTCAATCCACATATCATTTGCTTCAAGTTAATACTTTCTCAATTAACAGAACTAAAATCACTTTATTCACCACAAACCACAGAAACCCAGATCAGGTTTAGCAACAAATAGGAAATACCGTAAACAACCCATCGTGATTCTAAGCGAAAAACAACGCAATGCTTAAAAAAATCGAATCTTCATAAAGAAATTACAGCTTAAAATGAGATCATAGAGAAGGGATAAGTATAAACAGTACATAGGTCTTCAAGAGGGCAATATCGTCTTCATCGAGAGGCCTAGGGTTCTTCTCGTCCTTGATCTCATCCTCTGCATCCGCTGCCATTATTTTTTTTCTGGGATTTTGGTCGCGGAGATATCTTTTCAGATGCAAAGTTTTCTTGAACAAGAAGCAGAGAACAGAGGAGACTGGTACATCGAAGTTTGTCGTGTGCAGTCCACGTGATCTTCGGCTGCCTATTGGGCTAATATTTCTTTTCCGTCCCAAGTTTAAGAGACTCGATGTTTGGGCCGAATCAACCCTTTATGGGTTTTTAGGCTCCACTGACATTTTTTTTTTCTTATTTTTCTTGAAAAAACTAGCACGAATTTCGTGTGATGCACGGATAAAAGATAACCTTTAATATTTATAAACTAAAAATACTAATTAAATAATATTTATACATTAAAAATATAGAATCAATATATAATACAACTTACCTATATTAATTTGTTGAAAATGTTATATGAAATGGAGGAGAAGTACCTTAGTACCGATCTTCAAGAACAAGGGTGATGTTCAAAGTTGTGGTAACTACCGTGGGATTAAGTTGATGTGCCATACGATGAAGCTCTGGGAGAGGGTTATCGAGGATCGCCTACGACGAGTGACGAGTGTGACCCAAAACCAATTTGGGTTTATGCCTGGAAGGTCGACCATGGAGGCGATTTTCCTAATACGTCAGTTGATGAAGAGATATAGGGACCAAAAGAAGGATTTGCACATGGTCTTTATCGACCTTGAGAAGGCTTATGACAGAGTACCGAGGAATGTCATGTGGTGGGCCTTAGAAAAGCACAAAGTCCCATCTAAGTACATTACCCTCATCAAGGATATGTACAAGGAAGCGATGACGTGTGTTCGAACATGTGGGGGCGATACCAGCGACTTCCCAATTAAAATAGGACTACACCAGGGGTCAGCATTGAGCCCTTATTTATTTGCCTTGGTGATGGATGAGGTCACAAGGGACATACAAGGTGATCTCCCTTGGTCTATGCTCTTTGCTGATGATGTGGTGCTAGTTGACGAGAGTAGGGCCGGGGTAAATAAGAAGTTAGAGCTGTGGAAGGACACGTTAGAGTCAAAAGGCTTCAGACTTAGTAGGACGAAGACCGAGTACATGACGTGCGCTTTCAGCATGGCTACTCATGATGATGGTGA